ACAGAATTGCAAAGGCTTTAAATAGTTCTAGTGCTAGCATCGGGGACATTATTAGTACCACAGAGCGGCTAAAGCAGGAACTTGAAATCACTACACAGAGGCAAGAGATTGTTTCATGCTTTGTTCGTGGTTATCAGATATCTAATGAAGAGGTTAAAGTTCAATTTTATACTCTTCATTCTGCCTTCGCGGATGAAATTCTTTATTGGCTTGAATGATATAATAAACACTTTTCTTTTACTCCCTGGCATATTGACAGATAAATGCTCTGAGGCATGAAGATCTGAATGAGAAATTTTTCAAGGCTCTTTCCCATGTTCAAGAAATCCATGCTAATTGCAAAACACTGCTAAGAACACATCACCAGGTAATCTTTTTTTTTTCCACTGACTAATACAGTCGCGAGAGATTAATGCAAATTATCCTGCTCCGCTGCAAACATATTTGATAGCCGTACTTCTGGATAGAATTGAATTTTAATAAATTATGGGAGATTTCACCGTCATTAAGAGTAATTGGCACATTTCATTTTACATTTGGTGCTAAGCTAAGCGATGAAGTACCCCTTATTTCAATACGTAATTATTGTGGGAAATTTTGTTGCCATTGATGCATGATTCTCACCTTTTGTTTGAAGGACTTAATATGAGAAGTATTAAGTGATTAGATGTGATTGAAAATATGCATGTATATGAGATGTAAATTAACCTTAATTTTATGGTTCAAGGTTTTAATGCTTGGGTTCCCAATAATTATAAATTATGCATCTTTACAAAGTAACTGCAAAAGACAAATCTTCATTATGATTATTTTATGAAAAAATGTTTTCGTTAGAATTACATGCGTTATTAGATGCTTTTGATGGAAACATATTCTCTATTATGCTGATAGTCAGAGATTTCAATGCAGCGTGCAGGTTTGGAGCTGATGGATATGATGGCAGTATACCAAGAAGCAGCATATGAGCGGCTCTGCAGGTGTGCAGCTTTGAATTGATTATTCTTTTTACATATATTCTTAAACTACAATTTTTGAAAACCTGCTGAATAATTTATTGTCCGGTCGAATGAGTATTATATTGTTGTATGTGTTTTATTCCAGGTGGGTTCAGACAGAGTGCAGGAATCTAGGAGAAACTGATAATCCTGAAGTCGGTGAACTGTTGAAAACAGCTGTTCGCTGTCTCAGGGAAAGGCCCGTCCTCTTCAAATACTGTGCCGAGGAGGTGACATAATTGTGGATTGATTGTTCGTGCTTTAACCTTCTTTGTTTTTAAATTAAAATTATTAACAAATCTTGTAGGTTGCAAATATGAGGCATAATGCACTGTTTAGAAGGTTTATCAGTGCTCTCACACGTGGGGGACCGGGTGGCTTGCCTCGACCTATTGAAGTACACGCCCATGATCCTTTACGTTATGTCGGGGATATGTTAGGGTGGCTACATCAGGTATGAAACAGTCCTTTTAGTTGGTTTGGTATATTCTCTAGCTCTACTAATTGTAGCCCATGGGATCCTTTCATTATTGGAGTGGCTTACTGCCAAAGAATAGGATTTCTACTTTGATCTTTTACCAGCCTGATAATTTTTTTTTTATGTAGGCGTTGGCATCTGAACGTGAGCTCGTATATATACTACTAGACCCAGATGCAGTAATTGATGTTGGACCAACTGCCGACAAATTCTCCCCGGACTTGGAGCATGAATCTGGAAAACAAGAAAATGACCTAACCTTTGTTTTGGATAGAATTTTTGAAGGAGTTTGCCGGCCGTTTAAAGCGAGAGTTGAGCAAGTGCTGCAGTCCCAACCATCTCTTATCATTTCATATAAACTGAGCAACACTCTGGAATTTTACAGCTATACGGTGAGTGGAGTTCTATTAATTTGAATCCCAAGAGTCCTTTGACTTGTGTTTTCTTTGTTATAACTGTCTGTTAAGTATTAGATTTCAGATTTGCTTGGGAGAGATACGGCTCTATGCAATACCCTGTGGATGCTAAATGATGCTGCTCAGAAGACTTTCTTTGATATCCTTAGGAGTAGAGGAGAGAAGCTTTTGCGATTTCCTTCCTTTGTTGCTGTTGATCTCTCTCCTCCACCGGCAGTTAGAGAAGGAGTTTCTGTGCTGCTTGAAATAATTGATACTTATAATAGCATGATGGTTCCAGCTTCAGGGAAAAAGGCTGCTTTTGATCCAGTGTTATCTGCTTTACTTGATCCCATAATTCAGGTTTGTTTGCTTCTGACTATCTACTTGATCCCATACTTAGTTTCATGTTTTAGGAAGATGCCTTCTACCTATAAAACGATGCAGAGGAAAATAACAATGATCCTCTTTCCATTAGACAAGCCTTAGTGCTTGTTTGCCTAAAAATTTATCATCCATTTTGTTGTGGGACGTATAACCCGTTTTTCAAATAATTGCATATAGCAGTTAGAAAAACATGATCAAATTGGTCAGTTAAGTTTTCTGCCCCTTGAGAAGTGTGACAGGGATAGCCTGTCGTAGGAAAATATACACTAAGAAAATATTAATATAACGGCCCAAGTCCACTGCTAACAGACATTGTCCTCTTTGGGCATCCCCTCAAGATTTTTAAAACGTATTTTCTAGAGAGAGGTTTCCACATTCTTATTAAAAATGTTTCGTTCTCCTCTCCAACGGATATGAGATCTCACAATCCACACCCCTTTGTGGCCCCGCATCCTTGCTGGCACACCTTCTCGTGTTTACTCTTCTTCGCTGACACATTGTCCGATGTCTGGTTCTGATACCATTTGTATCGGCTTTCTACCTCTAGCAAATATTGTCTTCTTTAGACTTTCCCTTTCAGGCTTCTCCTTAAGGTTTTTAAAAAGCATCTGTTAGAGAGATGTTTCCACACCTTTATAAAGAATACTTCCTTCTCCTCTACAACCGATGTGGGATCTCACAATTAAAGTTTTCATTTATTTCAATGGATTGATGCTTTCTGTCTGATATTGCTACCACAATAGCTGTTTAATTCAGCGACCTACTTTTTCAGTTATATTTCAACATCTTGACATCCTAAAGCAAAAACTCCTGCTCCCGTCTTATTATAAATAGACAAACAGGCTCGGTGTGCCTTTATTATGTATGATTTTGTTGTTCCAATTACTGCAGATGTGTGAGCAAGCAGCAGAGGCTCACAAGTCCAAGGGAGCTGGCCATATATCAAGAAGAGGTAGGATGAATACTGATTCTAGCCAGAATAGCAAATCATCAGTGGATGCACTATTGTCCCAAAGCAGTCCTGCTCCAGCATCTCAGGTTCGCACGACCTCTTCAGTATGCCTTCTTTATCTGAAGTTTATTGAGTGTTTCAGTACAATGATTCGGATAATTATACGTTTTTCGATCTGAAGAAATATTGGTTTTCTATCACCTGAGTGCAGGACACTGAAACACCTTCTAAGATCTTCTTGATCAACTGTCTGTCTGCCATTCAACAACCAATATCTGGCCATGAGGTTGCAGCTGAATATGTCAAGAAACTTGGAGTAATGATAAACAATCACTTAAGCGTGCTTGTTGAAAAAGAGGTTGATGCAATCTTACGGAGATGCGGCTTATCTGGGAAAATGACATATTTCCATAAAAGTTCAGATGGACTGCCATTGGCGGATAATCAGCACACATCACCTGCTTCACTCTCAGAGAACTTGAAGGCGTTTTTCGGGCTTGTTTTGGGAAGTGAGAGTTCCCTTCCAGAGTTTGAGCTTTTGCAGGTCCCCAAATTGCGATCGGAAGCCTGCATTCAAGTGGCTCGATCGCTGGCTGAAGGTTACGAGCTTATATACGAGGCAATCATGGATCCCAACAATGGTTACCCAGACCCCAAGTCACTTGCAAGGCATCCTCCAGACCAGATAAGAACAATTTTGGGAATATAAAACTATAGAGTTGTGTTTAGGACATTCTGTTTTGATTTGAGGTATCATCCCATTGAATAGTTTGCTGTTTTCTATTATTTTTCTGAATCAAAGCTATAGATTAAACGGCTGTATGATGTACAGAATGCGGTCTAGATCTATTACTTGATCAGGCTGCCAATATAATTGCTCTTCTTAGTTCTTCTCCCTCATTCTTCTCCACCCTGTTTTAGATTATTGCCTAAAATCTGTACGAGAGGCTCGTCATGATCCTTATTGACCTTACTTGGTGAGCTCGTTATGATCTTTATTGATCTTACTTGATGAGCCTGCTCGTTATGATCTGTATTGACCTTATTAGCTCGTTATGATCTTTATTGACCTTGATAATTCTGCTCATTATGATCCTTAGGCTCGAGTCGAGCCTAATTGTTGTGATCCTTATTTTCTTTTGCTGCCTAATCGTTGTAATCCTTACTTTCTTACTTTGGTTGAACTAAACAAGTAAAAAAATTTTATTTGGTTTTTTTATTTTAGCATTCAATTCTTTATTACAGTCATTATGCACCCTAAAGTAACCACTCAAAAGGGTGAACTTGCATTCATTACAAAATTACTAATGATGGCTAAAGCAATTATGATTAGACTGATTTAACATTTTAATCTATGGTTATTAATCTTTTCACTAGGGTTAAAATTTGCATCTCTAGGATTAATATTTACATTATTCTTTTTATCTCACAAATCTATAAGACAGTAAAATTAAAATTTGACTCGAAATTTATAGGGTTAAATTAGCTCTCGAAATTTATAAAGTCAACTCATACATACTTAAAAAAAAAATCTAAGGAATTAAAAAAAAAATTAAAAAAACTATTTAATTAACCTTACTAAATATCAATAAATAAATTGAATATATTTTAGATAGAATTGGTTAAGTGTATATTTGATATATTTTATCTCTCATTTATAGAATTTAGTTGATAGTTTGTATCCTATTGAATAGTGTGAAGTGAATTCTTTTGCAATTAATTATATCTATGGTTTTAACTTTTATACCAATTAATAAGCTGTCGCTCACTCAGCTTAGTAATGATATGAACAAATGAGTATCCACTTCGTATTCATTTCAGCAAAATAACGGCATTTCCCAAATTTTCTTCTCAACTTTCGTGCTTCACAAAGAGACCTTCGATTCCTTCAACCCTTTTTCCGTGCTTTTTCAATCTCCAGAAAAGCGATCCAATCGCGAATTTGCAAGCCTTTCATGGTAACTATTTGTCCGTTTTTCTTTTCTTTTGCCCTTTTCATTTCTTCTTTTTCAGCCTTTAATGGGTGGGTTTTAAGCTCTGTATTCTTCGTTAAATCCTCCATTAAAGTGTAGATAAGCTTTTGTGTTCTTTGTTTCTTCTTCTTCTTCACATGCTCCCCACGAATCTGAAAAGAGATATGTTTCTTTATCGATTTTCCTTTTGGTTTTCTTCTTGTTCTTCAGGTTTCCGAAGAATCGAATGCCTTCTGGCTCTCTGGTGTGAGGGTATGTTCTTATTTTGCCCTTAATCTCCTGTTTTATGGTTCTTATTGAATCGTTTTTGGAATCTGATTGAGAAGATTATATCTGAGTCTTGTTTGGCTATTTGTGTTCTTTACATGATTATGTTGAATCCTTTATATGAGCTACTTGATTTGACTGGTTGAGTTTTCATGCTTTCTAGGATTGTATGATTTCAAGAACTTCATGTTTTAGAAGATTGTTGTGGATATCAAATTGTTGTTTCTTTTCACATTGTAGCATTGAATCTGAATGAGTGAAGTGTTGATCTTATTGGAGAGCTCTGGTGTTGAAGTTCTTAAAAAGAGACGTTGCGGGTAGTATCACATTTTTCTTAGACATTGCTTAGCGTAAACTAGTATCGGGCTCCATTTTTTCTTGGTTCTTAGTTAATAGTGTGAGATCTCACATTGGTTGGAGAGGGATACGAACCATTGTTGATAAAGGTGTGGAAACCTCTCCCTAGTAGATGTGTAGTAGAAACCGTGAGGGTGAGGTTGTACGTAATGGGTCAAAGTAGACAATATATGTTAGTGGTGGGCTTGTGCTTTTACAAATGGTAACAGAGCCAGACACCGGGCAGTGTGTTAGTGAGGACGTTGGGTCCCTAAGGGGGGTGGATTTTGAGATCTCACATCTGTTGGAGATGGGAACGGAGCATTTCTTATAAGAGTGTGGGAACCTCTCCTTAGTAGATGTGTTTTAAAAACTGTGAGGATAACAGTGATATGTAATGAGTCAAAACGGACAATGTCTGCTAGCGGTGGGCTTGGGCCGTTACAAATGGTATCAAAGCTAGACATTAGGCAGTGTGCCAGCAAGGACGTTGGTCCCAAGGGGAGTAGATTGTGAGATCCCACATCAGTTGGAGAGAGGAACGAAGCATTTCTTATAAAGTTTGTGGAAACCTCTTCCTAGTAGATGCGTTTTAAAAACCGTGAGGCTGACAACGATACGCAGAGGGCCAAAATGGACAATATCTACTAGCGGTGGGCTTGAACTGCTACAAATAGTATCAAAGCCAGATATCAAGCAGTGTGTCAACGAGGTCACTGGGACCACAAGGGGGTGGATTGTGAGATCCCACATCAGTTGGAGAGGAAACAAAGCATTCCTTATAAGGGTGTGGAAACCTCTCCCTAGTAGATGCATTTTAAAAAGCTGTGTGACTGACAGCGATACGTAACATGTCAAAGTGGACAATATCTGCTAATCGCTTGGGCTGTTACGATCCGTGTGCATATGAATAGGAACATCTTTGGCATATGAGTCTATGAATTCCTTGTTTGATTTTCATCATCTTTCTATTATGGAAACTCGAGCTTTCTTTGATGTTGATTGCTTTTCACTACGGTCATTGCAGGCTTTCGAGTCAACGTTTTCTTGTAGATCCCACACGAATTTTTGAGCCATAAACCAAGAGCCAGTACTCCAAGTACTCTCTTGATGTTAGTAACTAAGCAATGCAGTTATATCATCATCCATACTCTTTGAACAGCCAGAAGGTGAGACTTGCCCTGGAAGAGCAAGGCATCGACTACACGTCGTATCATGTCAATCCTATCATGGCCAAGAACATGGACTCCTCGTTCTTCAAGATGAACCCGAGTGCAAAACTTCCCGTCTTTCAAAATGGTTCCCACGTCATTTTCGACACAATCGAGATAATTCAGTACGTCTTGCTCGCTCCTTACTCTTTTGTCCCTACACTTTTAATGTTCATGAGATTGGCCGGAATAACTCACATCATTTAGTTGACTTGGGAAGATTGTGTTTGTATCAACAATCTTTCCATGATTTCTGAAATCCATTTATCAAACAAAACAGTGTTAGAACAAGTTGCTAAACACCTCCTCAGTGATCCCACGTCGGTTGGAGAGGAGAACGAAGTATTTTTTATAAGGGTGTAGAAACCTCTCTTAACGCTGTGTTTTAAAATCGTGGGGCTGACGGCGATACTTAACGAGCCAAAGTGGATAGTATCTACTAGTTGTGGGCTTGGGCGGTTACAAATGGTATCAGAGCCCGACACCGAGTGGTGTGCTGGCAAGGATGTTGGGCCCCCAAAGAAGGTGGATTGTGAGGTCCCACATCGGTTGGAGAGGAGAATGAAGTATTCTTTATAAGGGTGTGGAAACCTCTCCTAACATATGTGTTTTAAAACTGTGAGGCTGACGACGATATGTAACGGGCCAAAGTGTATAATATCTACTAGCTGTGGGCTTGGGTTGTTACAGATGGTATTAAAGCCAGACACCGAGTGATGTGCTAGCGATGACGCTGGGCCCTCAAGGAGGGTGGATCGTGAGATCCCACATCAGTTGAAGAGGGGAACAAAGCATTCTTTATAACGGTTTGGAAACCTCTCCCAAACAGACGTGTTTTAAAACCGTGAGGCTGACGCGATACATAATGGGCCAAAGCGGACAATATCTGCTAGCAGTAGGCTTGGGCTGTTACAAATAGTATCAAAATCAGACACTGAGTGGTGTGCCAGCGAGGACGTTGGCCCCCAAGGAGGGTGGATTGTGAGATCTCACATCGGTTGGAGAGGGAAACGAAGTATTCTTTACAAGAGTGTGGAAACTTCTCCTAAACCCTTAAAACCATGAGGCTGACGACGATACGTAACGAGACAAAGCAAATAATATCTACTAACGGTGGACTTAGGCCAAAGTGGACAATATCTGCTAATGGGCCAACCCGGCTCTATATCTTTCTAAACTAATGTTCGTAATGTACTGATGGCTCTTTTCAGGTATATAGAGAGAATTGCAGTTGTATCCTCGGGAACCGAGGACGTAATGCCGAGTAACAGAGAAGTTGTTGAGTGGATGCATAAGATACAACAATGGAATCCAAAGTTTTTCACTCTCGCCCACGTGCCTGAGAAGTACCGACTTACCGTGACCAAATTTGTAAGGCGTGTCATTATCAGTCGGATGGCCGAAACTCCTGAAATGGCAGCTGCATACCATCATAAGCTCAGAGAAGCATATGAGACAGAAGACAAACTGAAAAACAAAACTGTTATCAAACAAAGCACAGATCATTTAGTGAGACTTCTCGACGAAATCGAGTCGAAGCTAGGCGAAACTGCATTCCTGGCAGGGGAAGAGTTCACCATGGCTGATGCCGTGCTCATCCCGGTGCTGGCTCGACTCGAGCTGTTGAAGGTGGCGGACGAGTATATAGGAGGCAGCAGCAGCAGACCAAACATTGCAGAATATTGGATGTTGGTGCAGCAGAGGCCAAGCTATAAGAAGGTGATTGGAAAGTATTTCAAGGGATGGAGAAAGCACAAAACACTTATGAAAACATGGTGCTTTCTTCATATCAGAACCTTGCTAAGGAGATATTGATCCCAAAATAATTATCAAATTTTATTTATATTTTGTAAATGACACAAGGGTAAAATCGTAATTTGCATGTATTATTTTCCAATCTATCGAACGTTCGGTTAATTTATAAATTTAGCTTTTTGAATTTTTAGATCTGTTTCAAAAATATTTTCCAAACTTTCAATTTTATATTTAATAAATTTATAATATATTTAAAAATTTTAATTTTTAATTTTTTTTATTTATTAAAACTATAATTTTAATAACCTATTAAATAAAAAAATAAAAAATTTAGAGATATTAAACATAAAATTGAAATTTATGAACTATAATGTCGCATACAAATCATAATTTCTTCTCCATTTTACCCTTATAATGTCGTATACAAGCAATTAAAATTAAGATAAAATGCTTAACAATATCCAAAGTTTTCATCGTATCATAACATAATATAACCTATAGTTTTAAAACATTAGCTTAAAAGTTATATGATAATGATAGATATATATATATATATATATATATATGTTAATTATATCCTTTCTTGTAGATTTGGCTGAATGGGCTGCACTCTGAAGGCGAAAGGCATCTGAGAATTGAAATCTCTCATTCTCTGATTGTATCCATTATCCATTTCTCTCACACATTCTCCCATGGCTTCCATCTCCTTTTGGTACTGCAATTACATATACATATATATATATATATATATATATTCGAGCATTTAGATAACTATTTGATTTTTTTTTAATTTTAAAATTTAAATTTAAATCACTGTGAACACGACTCTGTATGATATTGTTCTAAGCTCGTATGGCTTTACGAGTATGATATTGTTCTAAGCTTGTATGGCTTTGCTTTGGGCTTCCCCAAAATGTCTCGTACTAATTGAGATAATATTTCTTGATTATAAACCTATGATCATTTCCTAAATTACAAGATAACAAAATAAATTCTTATAAACTTAATTAATTAAAAATTTAATAAAATAATTAAAATAATTATAGTATTTAAAGAGCTAAGGTTGTGAACTAAATTACCAGCTCATTGTTCAGCCGCTTATTCTCCTCTTCCATCATCCTTTCCTATTTTTATTCAAAAAAAAAAATTATTAATTTATATTATTTAATTAACCAGCTCAACTTATATATTTTAAAATATATATATATAATGAAAATTTAATATTTTTTAAATTATTTTATTAATTAAAAATAATTTGGAGAAAAATAGGGATGAGTTAAAAGTGGATGAATATACTTACATTTGTCCTCATCATTTTCATGAACTCCGACTGCATATCACAGCAAAAAAATTAAAATTATATTTATAATTAAAATAAATTTTAAACTTAAATATTTATAAATTTACAATATTTAATATGAATTTTTCCAGAAAAAAATAAAAATAAAAACCTGCTTGTCACGAACACCAGTGAGGCCATTTTCAAGAGCTTCTTCAAGAGCCATTAGCTCCTTGTAATTGAGAGACGTTATATCTTCGCCTCTCAGATGCCTGTTCTTCAATCTCATCAATATTATTATTATTATTTATTTAATAAATATACAGAGTATTTTAAAATAAATAATAAATAATAAATAATAAAAATTGAAAATTTAACCTCAGCTCAATCTGCATGTTGTCGTTCTCTTTCTTCACTCTGTCCATTTCATTGCTCAGATTCTGTAATTGTTTCAAATACCAAATAATAGTAATATTATTATTATTATTATTATTATTATTAAACTACATTACAAGGGTATTAAAGTAAAATGCTTCTGCATCATAATTTAACATGATTATATTATAGCAAAATATTTTTTAACACGGGTAAAATATCTTCTGAATGATAATTAATGTGGGTATTATAGCAAAATGGTAATTTAACAGGGGTATTACAGCAAAATTGTTAATAATTTTATAGGGGTATTATAGCAAAAGGTCTTGCAAATGATAATTTAATACAAGTATTAGAACAAAATGTCTTCCAAATGATAATTTAACATATATAATAAAGCAAAATATCTTTTAAATCATGATTTAACACGAGTATAATAGTAAATTATCATCAAAACGATAATCAAATATTCGGACGATAATTTAACATGGGTATTATAGCAAAACATCCTTAAAACGATAACTTAAAATGGATATTATAGTAAAACATTCGTAAAACAATAATTTAACAGGGGTATTATAGCAAAACATTCTTAAAAGAATAATTTAACACTGGGACTAAGGAAAAACATCCTTAAAACAATAATTTAATCGGGGTATTATAGGAAAACATCTTTAATACAATAATTTAACACATAATTATAGCAAAACATTCTTAAAAACAATAATTTAACAGGGTATTATAGCAAAACATCCTTAAAACAATAATTTAACACGGGTTTTATAACAAAACGACCTTAAAACAATAACTTAAAATGGATATTATAGTAAAACATCCTTAAAACTATAATGTAACAGAGGTATTATAATACAACATCCTTAAAACAATAATTTAACAAGGGTATTATAGCAAAACATCGTTAATACAATAATTTAGCAGGGGTATTATAGTAAAACATCCTTAAAACAATAATTTAACACGGGTTTTATAACAAAACGACCTTAAAACGATAACTTAAAATGGATATTATAGTAAAACATCCTTAAAACTATAATGTAACAGAGGTATTATAATACAACATCCTTAAAACAATAATTTAACAAGGGTATTATAGCAAAACGACCTTAAAACGATAACTTAAAATGGATATTATAGTAAAACATCCTTAAAACAATAATGTAACAGAGGTATTATAATACAACATCCTTAAAACAATAATTAACAAGGGTATTATAGCAAAACATCGTTAATACAATAATTTAACAGGGGTATTATAGTAAAACATCCTTAAAACAATAACTTAACCCATCATTATAGCAAAACATCCTTAAAACAATAATTTAATATAGGTATAAGTGCCTTTAGAAAGATAATTTAACATGGGTATTATAGTAAAACGTCAACCGAATCATAATTTAACACAGATATCAGATCAAAAAGTTTTTCTAATGATAATTTAACACGAATATTGAAGCAAAATATCTTCAAACAGCGTTAAGAACGTCTAAAAGATTGGATCGATAACGAAATATTTTAACAAAAATAGGGTTTTATACTTCTTTTTCACATATATATTCTCTGTTGGGCAGCAGATCTAGAAGTATAAAACTAGTTAGTAACTTTCCTTTCCCTCTTCCCTCTCTTATGATTTCAGTTGAAAAACAAATGAGGTGAAGAAAAATAAGTTTCATCAAATCAATACATAATTCAGTACTAGATCTGTTCTTCCATCTCACTTTACTCTTAGTTTTATCTTTCCTTTTTCATGCTAAATCCTCAAAAAAAAAAAAAAAAAAAAAA